CTCTGGGCCACAAATGAGGTTCACGCCAAGTCCAAGTTCTGGAATAATCCTTAGCCTTCCCAAATGTTCATTGGTGAATTTTTGGTTAAACTTAATATTGTTGGTTGATTTGTTTGGATTAGGTATTTCATGAGGAAGCTGAAGAAGGTCAAGAAGAGCAATGGTCAAGTGCTTTCCATTAATGAGGTTTGTTCTCTTTGCCGTTTATACTTTATTTTTTTCTAATTAATAAATTTGTACCCATTTTGATTATTTGTCAGTGTCTAATGTAGTCAATGTTTTTTTGCGGTGGAGAAGTGGTTCCTTCTCAACTCTCCTCCTGGTGAAATCCAATTTGTTGCCAATGGTCTCCACCTTTGACCCCAAAGCGTCACTCTTTTATCACATTTATTTCGCTTTTTTCTAATTTTGTTTCGATCAGTTGAATCGTAATTTGTATTTGATGTTTGCCTTTGGTGGCAGATGTGAAGGAGGCTGCGTCAGAGGCATCCTCTCGAATATTATGAAAACCTATCAGCATATCCACACCTTCTTTTACACCTTATTTCTCTGCACATTCCTCTCAAAAACTTAAATGCTTTATGCTCCACCATAGCCTTTGGTAGTTTTCTCTTCTTTCACTTGGTTCCATTTTAAGTTTTAACTTTTTAAAAAAATCTTTATTCTAAATTTGTTACTTTAAATCCTTAATTTTAGGATTAGTTATGGTTTATTTTTATAGCTTATAATGAATTGAGATGTGGACAATCTCCCTTTTTGTCCCTTCCCCTTCGACTCTCTTTTTGTCTTCATTGTTCTCATCGTTTCATTGTTCTCATCTTTTCTTGCGTTCTAATCTCATCCTTCTTGAAAATTGCAACTTCCCCTTGGACCCTCTTTGGTCTTCATCGTTTTCATCGTCTCATTGTTCTCATCCTTTCTTGCGTTCTCATCTCATCCTTCTTGAAAATTGCCTATTAAGAAGTAAAAATCGAAGCCAAGCAAGTAAAAATCGATAAGAGGGGTAAGCTTGCCTATGGAGAAAAAATGTTGGTTTAAAGGTTCTTTTGGTTTTCTAGGTTGGTTTATTCATTTGTCATGTTGAAAATTGAGAAGTAAATCAGAAATTGACTTTGGTTTGTTGTTATAGGGAGGAAGATCGAAAGAAAAAGAACTGGAGAAATCAATACAGGAACCCCCAGTCTGATGTCAATGGTATGAATCTCTCTCTCATTTTGGTTTTGTTTTTAGTTCACCAAATGGTTTTCATCTATTCTGATTTTTCTGATTTTTTTATATGAGATGTGCAGTTGTTACGGCTCTTAATTCTTCAATTTTCTCCATCTTACTTGCTAAAGTCGAAAGTTCACATTAGTTTGGTTGTTTTTGGGTCTTCCTGCTAACTACTTAGAACATGCATTTTAAGTTCAATTTTTGTTGGCCTGGCATTTCCCTTTTTTAAGAATCTATTTCATTTGTTTTAACTTTTCCCTTTATCCATTTTTTTTCCCTAATAATTGAACATATTTTTCATCTCTGGGTAGCATTTCTTTTTCTACTTTGTTGGTTAAGCCAACCCCATTGTAGTGAGTAGAAGGAGATTTACAGTTTCATATTGTGTCTTCTGGATATTTTTATCAAATTAACAAATTTCCTTATCTCTCGATCTCTGCTTTTGCTTACCTAAATTGCATTTCCTTCAAGTTGGTTGGTTGGAGGTATTTTGAGGCTATATAATTATGTGATTGTTGTGCTTCATTCTAGTTACTGCTTATTTTATTTTTTTCAGTATGAATCATAGTTAAGCTGTCGTCCAATTGCTTCAGGTATGATATATGAAAATTAAGAAGTTTTTCATATCTACATGTCTTATTGAAACTTTGGAATTTTATCTCAACAGATTCAATTGTCTGTCACCTCTCTGACTTATTCACTAAAGCAAAAAAGCAAAGATAATTTTCAGGTTAATGTTTCTTCATTTTGTTTTATTGACATTTTTTTTTCTTTTGGGTTCCCTCAAAATTCCTTCACAAAATTTGACTTGGCTCTACTATTACGTGTTTTCTGCTCTCTTTCTTTCTGTTTTTTTCCCCCGATTTAATTAACAAATTTTAGCATAATTTCTCAACTTTAACTAGTTGTCTTCACCACCCAAACAAAAATGTCCAATTTGAAGCAAATGTTTTTAATTTTAGGTTTTGTTTTCTTTTGTTTTTGCTGAATTGAAATTACCCCCATTTTAATGCTGCTCCTAATCTCATGTTGCAGGATTCTCTTCCAACAATCTATCCATTGCTAGGTATGGGTATACGCCCACATTCACCTACCTTTACATTAGTTTCTTTGTTTGCTAATCATACTTTTTTACCTAATAAAGCAACAAGCAGCTCAAAGAAGAACAATGAAAACATTGAACCGAGAAAATCATTTTGCTTGCTCCTTTGTATTTGATTTTATTATATAAACCAAAACAATGAAGACTACAACCTCAACATGCTCAAGGTTGAACTTTGCAATATATGTATTATATTTTGTAAATAATTAATCATTTGTATTAATAATCGATGTACCTTATTTGATTCATAGAAGAAGTTCATTTTCAACGTATGAGTTAATGCCTTAACTTCAATTTTTAAGTAAAGGTTTGATAAAGATATGCAGATTTTTTATTTTTTATTTTTTATTTTTTTATTTTTTATTTTTTTTTTGTGGGAAAGGTTTATATAGCCATTTTGAAGATATTTTTGCACGTAAAAAATATATTTGTTGTAACATAAATCAAATATTAATGCATTGCTATTATTTAAGGAGATATAAAATGTCACCACGTAAATTTTAAATATATTCAAAGATAATATAAATCAAACATACTTATATATAAGAAATTTCAGGTCATTTCTGTAAGTATCTTAGGCCACAAAAGGCTGCATGGAAGCTTTTTGAAAAATAAAAAGGTGCATAAATGCCTTGCATAGATATTTCACTAAGAATGATAAACTTTACATATAAGTAACAAGTTCAAATTAATCAAAAAACAGTGACTAAAACTCACAACGGTATTTATACTAATTAAAATATTATAAATGGTTAATTATTTTTCACTAATTAAAATCTTATACATAGGTAATTATTATATAATAATTAAATTATTATTAATTACCTAGTAGTAATAACATAATTACTTTGTAAGCATTGAATGTTCAACTATAGTAATAAATATTGTAGTTATTAATGGAGCGTGCACACAACTCGTTAATGCATGAAATACCTAGATGTTGCTCTATTACTGGGGCCTACTTCAGTATGACAATCATGTACGTTGTTTATTATTGGTTTGATCAAAATAATATTTGTGCGCTTAGTGTATTTTCAATATTAATACAATGGTATCTAATTCTAGACAAGTAGTGAATATAATTAATACAAATACTGACATTTTACACTCATAAAACTTAAATTCAATAAATTTAATAGAACAAGTTCAACATGAAGGTACAAGTTTAACGGTTGCATAGCATATCAACAATCCTGGTGAAGAATCTACTAGAATGCGTTTAACACATATAAAACAGTTGGCACGTTCGAATAGGTTGCAATTTTCTGATGGTCTTCATTTAATTACTACTTCTAATAGTGAGCTTAGTAGATACCTATTTTAAACACATAAGTAATAAATAATTTTAAGTTTATAACTAAAATCTTATATTGAAAAACCAATATTGATTAATACAAAACATAAGTGAATAACGATACATTACATCATCGCGAAGGCCAACACAACAATACCACAATGATGTGCAACATATAAGGAGAGGAATGAGAAACTACAATTGTGCCTGAAATTATAACAAGAACATGGGTGTGCTAGGTAGGGCTGTCAACGAATCGAAGATGGAGCAAATCCATCTATATCCGATCCAATCCAAAATGAAAAACATTGCAACCTGATCTGATTCGATAATCCGACGGATTCTAAATAATTGGATCCATATACAATATGATGGATTATCATATACCAGATTCGATAATACGATTCGAATTCTTTTATCTCATACATTTTCAAACTAAAAAAAATAACATAGAATATATACATATATAAACTTAAATCTTCCACAAAATAATATGATACATGTATCTAAAATATTCAATTACACTTCAACATGAACCAAAATACTCAACTTAACTTCAACATGAAACAAAATCTTCCAACTCCACCAAAATACTTTCATCTTCCTCTTTGCATTTTTTGTGTTAGAGAACCGAAATTAGATCCTTAAAAAAAAATTAATAATAATAATAATAATAATAATAACTAATCTTGAAAATATGACCAATTATTTTGAACACATAAATAATCAATATTCTTACATGCATATTTTAGAGGAAGTCAATTTTTTGTAGTCACGAAAGCCTCAACAGTTTTTGGAAGTATATAAGCACGTAATTCATATATTACTCTTCCTCCTACATTAATGTTGCCTCAGATGCAACAGTAGTTGTTGGAATGGCTAAGATGTCATGAGCTATTTTTGATAAAATAGGAAGCTTAACATTTTTTACTTTCCACCAATTGAGAACACAAAAAGGCTCACTTCTTGGAAATAATAGCGTATTGGAAATAATAGCGTATCCAAATATTCATCTAATTCTGAATTTTTATGCGCACTGATATTGGAAGATTAAGCCCCACCATACCAAGAATCAAACCCACTCAAGTCATTATCTTTGAAAGCCATACCCTGCTCATTATTAGTATCACCAACTTCTTGACTTGGGTTCATTTGAGATGAATCCTCAGCATACTCATTAAAATATCAAATAAAGCATTACGAACTTTTTCAACATAAGGACAAGCATCTGACCCATGGACCTTAGCATAATAAAAATGAACCAAATTCATTTTAAATCTTGGATAAAAAACAAATACAACTGCTAATATCAAGCTATATTGTTCCCTGTATTTATTAAACTTCAACTTCATTGGGGTCGCCATCAAACAGAGAAAATCATACTCACTACTCTCCCAAGCAGATAAATGCATTTGAATCTTACAAATATCATGAAAAAACATACGAGAGGTAGGAAAATAAGAACCATAAAAATTATTAGTTGCAACATAGAAAATTCTCAAGCAATCACATATCACTTTTTCTACTTTCCACTCATCATCACTTAGATGAAATATATAATTATGATCAGTTTATGCTAATGCCAAAACACATCTTTCATCTCAAATGCACTTTCAATCATCAAAAAAGTAGAATTCCATGTAGTATGACAATCCATCGTCACTTTTTTCTTATCCTTTAACTTAAGTTGAGTCTTTGCTTGATTAAATTTTTGTGTTGCATAGGGAGACTTTTTCAAGTACTTCACAGTTTCTCTAACCTTGTAAACAAAATATCTAATCACTTTTAACCCATCTTGTACAATTAGGTTAAGAATATGAGCACTACAATGCACATGAAATAACTCACCTTGCAATGATATTGAAGACTTGTCACATAGCAATCTTTTCAATTTTCTAGTCATCGCATCATTGACACTAGTATTATCAACAACCATGAAAAATAATTTCTTTTCAAATTTCCAATCCAAAATCAAATCAATAATATATCTAAACAACGTTTCTACCTCGTGAGGATATTCAATACATTTGTAAGCAATTATCTTTTTTTCCAATTCCCAATTATCATTAATAAAATGAGATGTCAAGCAAATATATCCAATATCTTGATGATCAGCAATCCAAAGATTAGTAGTAAGAGTAATCATACCAGAAAATTCTTCAAAGTACTTATACAACCTCTCTTCTTTGTTTTGTGAACCTTAAAAACATCATACCTCACTGTATTTCTAGACACAAGTTTAAACATTGGTTGAATACCATTCAAAAATATCCCGAAGTATTCATGCTTAGCCATATTGAATGGATAATTGTGCAAAATAACCATCCTAGCAAAATCAGTTCTACTTTTCTCTTGATCAAACTTATGATTTTTAACCGTAGCAAAGGAGCTTGAAGTATTTTTTGCTATGGCTAACATTTGTTGACTGATGTCTTTACTTTTTATCTTTAGACATCTAAGCAGATGCTTCTATAAGTGGTTAATTCATTTAATATTATCTCCCACAAATTGCTTACGACAATGGTTACACCTTACAAGTTCACTACCATCTGACCTTTTAAATTTAACAAAGTCTTTCCATGCCTTAGATGTTAATTTCCGTTTCTTTGGAGAATTTGAAGGAGAATCTTTCACCTATATAACAATTTAGGTATCATCATTTTTTCCCTGATCTTCATCTATCTTACAAGTCTAAAAAATTACTTGAAAAAGGGGTAAGAGAAGAGTTAGATGAAGAGGAAGAAACGTGTGGGAGATAAAATGTAGAGTGAAGATAACCATCTTACCTAGGAATAAAAGTGTGAGAGATTAAAGAAGAATGAAGATAAATAAATAACCTGAAGATAAGTGTGGGAGATAAAACCAGCAGGAAATAGGTAGACAAAGGCTCCGCAATTTGGGTCACTTTAGCTTCTTTCAATACTATATCCTTAACCAAAACCAGATTAGCTTTTTTCAATATACTAACACTAGTGTTTCTTTTAATTGATGTTTCTTTCAATATACTTTAACTTCTTTCAAGTTATGCGCCCCAAAAGAAGAGGGATGCCTTGGCTTTCGAAATTTGCATGCTTTTAATCTGGCTTTGTTGGCCAAACAGGGGTGGCGCCTTCTCCAAAATCCAGACTCCTTGATCAAGATAGTCCTTAAAGCCAAATATTTTCCAAATCATTATTTTCTTGAAACTGCAATAAGTCCTCATGCCTCTGTTGTGTGGAAAAGTTTTTGTGAAGCAAGAACAGTTATTATTCAAGGCTCCAGATGGCAAGTGGGATGCGGTGATACAATTAGCATATGGGAGAATCGGTGGTTGCCACAACCTAATAGCTTTCGGATCTTCTCTCCCAAGCCTGAGAACAGTGCTATCACAAAAGTATCAGACTTAATTCATGTGACTCACAAGAATGGAATGTTCCGCTACTGCAAACTCTTTTCTTTCCTGAAGAAGTGATGCTTATTCGCTCTATCCCGCTGAGTCTGCGTTTGACACCCGATATGTTGGTGTGGCATTATGATAAAAAAAAAAAAAAAAGGTAGGTTCATAGTTAAGAGTGCCTACCACGTAGCCATATCTTTGCATTCCCCCACTGGCAGGGCATTCTCCTCAAATCCGGATGTAGTCGCTAGGAATTGGTCTCTAATTTGGAATGCCATCGTGCCAGCCAGAGTCAAGACTTTTTGGTGGCGTGTTATCTCTGGAATATTACCTATGAAGGCAAATTTAGCACGAAAAAAGGTGTCCCTAGATGAGGAATGCATGTTCTGTGAGGGCCCAACCGAATCTTCCATTCATATCCTTCGTGACTGCCCGTTTGCAATTTGTGCTTGGCGTAGTTCGACATTAAGTAGTAGCAAGTGGAACAATGATGCTTATTCACCCAAGGATTGGGTATTTCGCTATGCAAAGCAACTAAGCTGTCATGACTTTGCAAATTTTCTCATGATGGGTTGGGCAATTTGGGAAGCACGCAATGGATT